ATACTTCTTTGCTCATCGTATTTTTTCTTTAGACGTTTATCTTCACATTGACGAACTCTAATTTCTTTAATCAAAGTGGATTCCACGATTATGTTGGTGAGCAATCCATTGGTCTTGCAGGGGATGAGGGTACATGCCAAGCTTCTGGTAGTTTTTCGATTTAATGCATCTGCTACTACGTTAGTTTTGTCTGAATGGTGAACGATCTCTACATTGCAATCTTTCATAAATTCTAGCTATCGTTATTGCCTCATATTCAGTTCTTTTTGTGTAAATAGATATTTAAGACTCTTATGATCAGTATAAATCTCGCAGGTCACTTCATAGAGATAATTACGCTAAATCTTGAGGGTGAAGATTACCGCGGCCAATTCTCGATCGTGGGATGGGTAGTTCTTCTCGTGAGTCTTTAGTTGACGTGAGGCATATGCAACAACATTTCCATTTTTCATAAGGACGTAACCTAACCCGTTGTATGAGGCATCGCTATAAATTACAAACCCATCCATTCCCGTAGGGAGTGCTAGTATAAGGGCTAACACTAGTCTATTTTTCAACTCTTGGAAGCAATCTTCCTGTTCGTTAGTCCATTCAAACGGTGTGTTTTTCTAGGTGAGTCAGGGTCAAGGGTGATGAAAGCTTCGAGAAGTCTTGAATGAAGAAGCAATAATAGCTTGCCAATCCCAAGCAGCTCCGAACTTCAGTCACATTAGTGGGTCATAGCCAATCCATAATTGCTACAACCTTCTGTGGGTCGACTGAGATGCCATATTTGTTTATGACGTGATCGAGAAATTGTACACTAGCGATCTAGAACTCACATTTCTTCAACTTGGCATACAGTTTGTGATCACGTAGTGTCTGTAGAACTCTTCACAAGTGGTGTTTATGATCTTCTGGTGATTTGGAGTATATAAGAATGTCGTCAATAAAGACAATGACGAACTCATCAAGATAGGGTTTGAACACCCAATTCATGAGGTTCATAAAGGTTGTTGGAGCATTTGTGACGCCAAATGGCGTGACGAAGAACTTGTAGTGCCTGTAACATGTTCAGAAGGCAATCTTTTCAATGCTTTCTGTTTTGACTTTTACTTGATGATAGCTAGAACGCAAGTCAATCTTTGAGAATACTTGAGCACCTTGAAGTTGATCAAACAAGTCATTGATTCATGGCAAAGGGTACCAATTCTTGATGGTGACCTTATTCAATTCTCGATAATCGATACACAATCTCATCATACCATCCTTTTTCTTTACGAACAGTATTGAAGCGCTCCATAGCAAGGTACTTGGTCAAACGAAGCCTTTGTTCAGTAGTTTCTAGAGTTGAGTCTTCAATTCTTTCAATTTCATCATGGACATACAGTAAAGGGTTTTTGATATCGGTTGGGTATTGGGTTGAGTTTCAATGGTGAACTCAATTTCTCGATCAACCGGGATACCAAGTAAGTCATTAGGAAAGAAATCCGAGAATTCTCAAACCACAGGGATTACATCAAGTGTGGGGTCCACTTGTTCAGTATTGATCACATAACAGATATAACTGCAACAACCTTTCCTCAGAAGTCGTTGGGTCGTCATAGACGATATAATACATAGAGGGGGAGAGACTCTAGTTCCATCGAAGATGAGCTTGCACTAGTTTGGTGACTGTGGGGAGACCTTTTTGGCTGTGCAATTAATAAATATGTGGTTGGTAGCAAGCTAATCCATCCCTAGGATCACATTAAAGTTGCTAATACGAAGGGAAATCAAATCCACGTATAAGGTTTCACCTTTTAAGGCTACAGTGCAAGATTTATATATGTCAGTACTAAGGGTAGAATTACCAAAAGGAAAAGACACAGATAGTATATATCCCAAGGGTTCTGGTATTAATGTTAATTTGGAAGTAAAGTGTGGTGCAACAAAAGAATGTGTCGAGCCAGAGTCAATGAGAACATGGGCTAAATGTCCACAGATAGAAAGTGTACCTGACATACATTCTCGATAACGTCTGGGTTTCCAGGCACTAAGGCAAAAGCTCTCCCTTGGCCTTTTTGGTCTTTCCTCACACCTGTAGGTACTGTAGCCTTTTGAGTTAATTCAGAGAAACCTACTATGGGTTTAGTGAATTTTGGACAGTCTTACACTAAATGGCCAATTTGACCGCATCTAAAGCATGCTCCCGTGTCTTGGTGGCATCGTCCCCAATGAGCCCCTCTACAAGTAGGACAATTTGGAATGGCGTTGCTTTCGAGGATATCAAGATTTTGGTTGCCTGAACTAGTCGAGCCTGTATTTGCCTTCTTTGGGGGTGCAACACCAGATCCTCTGTTGACTCTTTTCCAAAACCGTTTCTTATGGCTTGTTTTCCCAGAACATGAGGCTTTAATCCTTTTTTTGGCAATGTATGCTCGATCCACCTCTTTTGTGCAAGTTGGCAATTTTAGAACCTCAATCTTGTTTCTGCTCTTTCCATGATTCTTTTCATTGGTTCTATTTCACTGACAGACGATCCGGTTCCGTTACCATCATTGACCATTACTACAAGTATAGACTTAGAAGAAAAAATAATTTAACAAACGTTGCACATTTTTACCAATATCACACACTCACACACACACACACATATATAAATATACACACACCAGTTTTATCATACACATATAGTGTTCGTGCTACATAAGTTAGAAGTCATGTTAAGAGTCTAATCTAGTCAATACAAAACTAGGGATTAGAACTAATTGTGGTCAGCTCACAAAAAGAGTCCTCCTTTCCGTAGTCTAAATCAAGGAGTCAAACAACCATGAAAAATAATGCTGTATAAGTGGCTCAAACTCCTAACCTTGCTGCGCTACTCGAAACCCATGTTACCTGGATTACGTAAATGGGGACACACTGTATATATCCCCAAAATACTCGGTTAGTGATCCATACAGGTGTCTCGAGATATGACAAATTATTATTGAAATCAATGTTGTGGACATTAATAATGTCCAGAGGGTTAGGGGTGTCGGTGAATTCAACAAACGCTGGGGGCAAGGGCGCGACTACGAAGCAAGGGTCATCTAGTTCTGAAGCGATCTCGACAATGTGGATAGGTCTAAGGTATCTTCCTCGTGTATAGCCAGAGCTCTGTCTCCAATGCAAGAATGTTACGTCGTCAGGATCAGCTTGCATGTATATCGGTTGATCCATCAGTTGGTCTAGTACTGGGTATAGTTGTCTAATTATACTTTCAGAATCACCTGATTCTTCTGGCGAGGCGGGGGTGTGGTGCTCTTCTAAGATCCCTACTAGACTCATGGTCTTGAGCTCACGCCAGAATAACTCACTGAGATTTTTCTTGGACATCCCTACATCACATAAAAATTAACTATAGTGCAAGAAAAGATCATGCATATAGTAACCAATGTGTCAGAATAGTCTTGAAATAGTAATATATATATATATATATATTACTTATTTATTTAAATTATTATTATTGTTGTTATTGTTGTTTTCATTGAGAGAGAGAAAACAAATGTACCATGTCTCCCATTACTCAAGGGCAATGGATATTTGTAAAAAAAAAAAAAAAAAAGAAAAAAAAAAAAAAACTACCGAGGATGGTTGTCATGCGAGTTTGCAACTGTCTCTCTTTCGGTCCCTTACAACACATCCATGTTTTTTTTTTTGAATCCTAATCCCAACTAAACACTGATGCACAACTTTTTTTTTGGATAAATGCACACAACTCCAATTACGGCAAGGCTAAAACCCTAAAACCCTAAAAGTGTATGAAATTCTTTATTTTTTTTTATTTATTCACAGTACTTGTTAAGTGTCTTTGTATTTTCTTTGTCTTCTTTGTCTCCCTTTGTTACTTTGCAATTTACCGACTCGCGATTTACCAGATTAGGATCACACAACACAGATTTGAGACCACACTACAACCTTGGTATCTTCTCTTCATTGTTTATAGGTAACTTTATTTATTTTATTTTTTTACTTTTAAATAAAAATTATGAGTATTAATTTATAGTTATTTGTCAAGTTTTGATTTGTAAATTTTTTTTTATTTGTTATTATTTATGTTAAAATAAGAGATTTTGATATGCTAAAATTATGAATCTTAATTGGTGGTGATTTATATTAAAATTAGGGATTTTGGTTTGTTGTTATTTTTGCTAAAATTAGGGATTTGATTTGTGCTAAAATTAAAAATATTAATTTGTAGTGATTAATATTTAAATTAGGGATTTTGATTTGTTATAATTTGTGCTAAAATTAGAAATTTTGATTTGTTGTGATTTGTGCTAAATTTAAATTTTTTGATTTGTATTAAAATTGGAGATTTTGATTAGTGGGGGTTTGTGATTTTGGTCATGGATTTTTATTTTGATTTTTAATTTTTTTTCAAACAGTCAAGGAGAAATATTTGAAAAGAAAATCAAAGTTGGAATCCTCTCTTCCTCAAGAAGAAGATGATAATTATTCTTTCGCAAAACAAAGGCACATAGAAATCAACTTAGTAGACCTTCCTACAGATCCAGGACTAAGGCCTTGGATTATGGACTATAATGCTAATGATTGAGACCAAATTCGTAGGGCATATCTACAAAAAGGTCCTTATCAACTTCGTGATCATAATTTTCCACAAAAATTAGTTGGACAAAAACTTCAGTGATTTAATCAAGCCTGGCTTAGTGAATTTCCTAATTGGTTAGAGTATAGTGCAACAAAAGATGCAACATTTTGTTTATGTTGTTATCTTTTCAAACCCAATATTGGAGATCAAACTGGTGGTAATTCTTTTGTTGGTGAGGGTTTCTCAAATTGGGAGAAAAAAGAAAAAATTTCGACTCGTGTTGGAGGTCCCAATAGTGCTCATAATTAAGCTTCGAGTAAATGTCAAGACTTATTAAACCAAAACGAGCATATTGAAATGATTTTCTCAAACAATCTGATCAAGCTCGAATTGAGTATCGGACCCGTTTGAATACATCGGTTGATTGTGTCAAATTTCTTCTAAGACAAAGACTTGCATTTCGTGGGCATGATGAATCTGAAAATTTAAGTAACCAAGGACATTTTCTTGAACTTCTCAAGTTTCTTGCTGATCATAATGAAGATGTCAAAGTGGTTGCATTGAGCAATGCTCCACAAAATCTCAAGTTGACATCTCCTGATATTCAAAAAGACATTGTAAATGTGGCCGCATTTGAAACTATCAATGTGATTATTAGAGATCTTGGAGATGCACTTTTTTCTATTTTGATTAATGAAGCCCGTGACATGTCAATCAAGGAGCAAATGGCAATTGTAATACGATATGTTGACAAAAAAGACCAAGTGATTGAACACTTTTTGGGTATTAAGCATGTTGCTAATATGAATGCTCTCTCACTCAAACAAGCTATGGTAAATTTATTCTCCAGACTTGGATTGAGTATTTCCAGATTGCGGGGTCAAGGATATGATGGGGCTAGTAATATGCACAGTGACTTCAATGGTCTTAAAACACTTATACTGAAAGAGAATCTTTGTGCATATTATGTTCATTGTTTTGCTCATCAATTACAATTGGCACTTGTAGTTATGGCAAAGAATCATAATCAAAATGCTTTACTTTTCACTTTGGTTTCTAATGTGGTGAATGTTGTTGGAGCATCATGTAAACGTCGAGATATTGTTAAGGAGAAGCAAGCTGCAAAGGTTGCTAAGGCACTTAATACTGGAGAGTTATCTAGTGGGCAAGGCTTAAATCAAGAAACTAATCTTAAACGTGCTAGTGAGACACGTTGGGGTTCACACTATGGTACTTTAGTCTGCTTGGCTAGTATGTTTTCAACAGTGATTGATGTGCTTGAAATGATTTTGGAGGATGGTTCAAATTCAGAACAACGAGCAGAAGCAAATGTATTGTTGGACTTAATTCAATCATTTGAGTTTGTATTCAACCTTCATTTGACGAAAACGATATTGGCTATTACAAGTGAGTTATCGCAAGCACTACAAAGGAAAGATCAAGATATTGTTAATGCTATGAATTTAGTTCATATTTTTAAAGTACGGCTCTAAAAGATGAGGGAGAGTGGGTGAACATCTTTACTTGATGATATTTTGTCTTTTTGTGAAAAGCATGAAATTGATGTTCCCCAAATGGATGATATGTTTGTAGCTCGAGGGAGAAAAAGGCGAAATGCTAAAGAAATTACAAACTTACATCATTATCGCGCTGAGTTATTCTACACTGTTTTGGATATGCATATTCAAGAACTAAATGCTCGTTTCATTGAGTCGAACACTGAATTGTTACTCTGTGTGGCATGTTTGAATCCATCTAACTCTTTCTCTAGTTTTGATAGGAAAAAGTTAAATTTTATCCCAAAGAATTTTTTTCAGTGGAGCTCATGGTACTTAATGATCAACTTGATACATATATTATCGACATGTTATCCAGTAATGAGTTCTCAATATTGAATGGAATTGCCGATCTTGCTAAGAAAATGGTGGAGACTGGAAGAGACAAAGTATATCCATTGGTGTGTTTGCTATTGACTTTAGCATTAATATTGCCTATTACAACTGCTACTGTTGAGAGGGTATTTTCAGCTATGAATAGTGCGAAGAATCGATTGCAGAACCAAATGGGTGATTAATAGATGAATGATAGCTTGGTTGTTTACATTGAGAGATATATTGTTTATGGCATTGATAATGATACTATCATGGAAAGATTTCAAAAGATGAAAACTCTTTGGGGTCAATTGTAAAAGTTTAAAATTAAAAACTTTTTGTAATGAATGTTAATTTTTTAATGTTTAATATTAGCTCGAAAAATTATTATTATGTCATTGTTATTGATTGGAGAAGAAAACTTTTGAGATTACAATTAATAAGTGCCCCCCCTATATTAAATTCCTAGCTCCGCCACTAGTTGTTATTGTTGTTGTTGTTGTTGCTGCTGCTGCTGCTGCTGTTGTTGTTGTTGTTATTATTATTATTAATATTATTAAACCTTAGCTCTGATACCACCTTTGTCACGACCCAAACCCGAGTGCTTAGGGCTGAATTCACAACTGGCTAATTAATTCTAATTTTAACAAATTAAGTGGCGTAGGCGGAGACAAGATAAAGCAGTAAAGAAATTAAATAGATAGATAAATAATCGAAATACTCAATAAATTAAAAAAAAATTCTTTGGGACTTTTATTTATTTTATTGATGATCGGACAATTATAAATATATATATATATATAAAGTCCTTTTCAAGTCTTGTGCTAGTCCCATTACACGAGGTTACTACTTTTCCTTACATATTATCACATGAAAGGGGACAACAACTTATCAGTCTTATCTGATTGGTAAGGAGCCTACCATGCATGACCAACCATAGGAAAGTTTTAAGCTTGTGAAGAGCTTTCATTTTCCATATTCATTGCCAGTCCAGGCCATCTTCCTCCCTGTTTAGTAAGTGCATTGTAGGTTGCTAAGGTAGAGAAATTGCCATTTGTAGTTCCTTGCCAAATTGGAGTGTCCATAAAAGTCACAAATCTTGGTCTATAGATACTAAGGATGTTATCTTTGTCTTGTGGGGAGATGAGGTGCTAGATTGAGGTCAGATCCCAGTTACCTTCTGCATCAAGAATGGAGCTAACTGTTGTTGCGTAATCAATGTTAGAATTTGGGTTAGTGTTACACAGAGGTTGACTGCCACACCACTAATCAAACCAGAGTGATATGTACTCCACATTCCCCACATTCCATTTGATGTTAGCCTCCAAGACCTCCCTGTTTTTAATTATACTCTTCCAAATATGAGAAACATTTCTCTTTATAGGCTAGTTAGAAAAGGAATGATGTTAAAGATATTTAGAATGGAGGATTTTACACCAGAGGTTCTCAGCTTTGGTAGTAACTTTCCAGCCCAGTTTAGAGATTAAAGCAGAGTTCTGCTCCCTAGTTTTCGAATGCCTAACCCACCTTGTTTTTTACTTTTGCGAACTTGATTCCAGTTCACAAGATGGACTTTTTTGGCAGTGTCAGTACTACCCTAAATGAAGTTACTGTTAAGTCTATCAATTTTATCACAAACAGATCTAGGAATTTCCATAGTTTACATAAGATGGTTAGGAATAGCTGAAGTAACTGATTTCATAAGGGTAACTCCGCCAGCTAGAGAAAGAGTTTTAACTTTCCAGCCAGACAATCTGATAGTGAGCTTATCAGTGATATCCTTAACATGGTTTCTACTAAGTCTGCTATGGAGAATAGGAGTACCTAGGTATTTACCAAGATCATTAATAAGGGATATACCACATTGGTAACTAAGAGAAAGAGCCTCTCTCCTTGGTATGTTAGGAGAAACAAAAGTTTAGACTTATGGAGATTAATTTTTTTGCCAGAAATTTCACAGAATTCATTCAAAACTTCCATGATCCAATCACAATTCCTTCTGGTAGCCTGAGCAAAAAGTATAAGGTCATTAACAAAAAAAAGATGAGAGATAAGGATACTATGGTTGGAACCTTAAGACCTTTCCAAGCTCCACTCTGAGTTTTGAGTCTAATCATATTAGAAAGGTTCTCCATACAAAGTACAAACAAATAAGGGGACAAAGGATCCCCTTGTCGGAGACCTCTCCCAATATTAATGCTAGAAAGCCTCTCACTAGTCCAAAGAATAGAAGAATTAATAGTAGTAACACAATTCATGATGAGATTTATCCAATCAAGGTTCAGGTGAAATTCCTTAAGTGTGTGGTGAACAAAATCCCAAGATATACGATCATAGACTTTCTCAAGGTCAATCTCAAGAACCATACCACCAAATTTGCCTTTCTTGTTCCTAAGTGTGTGAATGATTTCCTGAGTTATGATAATATTATCAGTGGTAGTACAACCAGGATAAAGCTACTCTGATTAGGGCTAATGAGATCAGGAAGCAAGGGTCTGATTCTATTAACAATGATTTTGGTGATGGTCTTGTAGGTCACACTGCACAGGCTTATGGGCCTAAATTGCCTAATATTTTTAGGATTGGCCAGTTTAGGAATTAGCACAATGAGAGTTTCATTGACCTCTTTGGGGATGGTTTTGGTAGAAAAACAGTGTTTGACAAAATTGCACATAGAAGGTCCCACAATGTTCCAATTTTGGTGATAGAAAATAGCTTGTAAACCATCAGTCCCAAGTGCTTTGAAGGCTTTTATGTTCTTAATGGCTTGCCAAATCTCATGATTGGTAATGGGGCTTGCAGGGTTTTATTGTCCTCTCTAGTAAACCAGGTATTATTAATGTCCCTCCAGTGTTCAAGAGGAAGACTCTCCCCAGGTTTAAACAACTCACTAAAATGATGGATGATATGGTTTTTGATGTCTTCAGAATTAGACAGCCAGCTCCCATTGTCATTCTTAAACAAATTGATTTTCAATTTTCTGTGCTTGTTGATGGTGGAAATATGGAAAAAATTGGTATTGTTATCACCCAAGGTAATCCATTTAACTTGGGATTTTTGGAACCAAATAAGTTTTTCCTGGAAAAGGGTTGAGTTATATTGTTTAATAAGATCATGTTCAAGCAGGAAAAGGTTATGGGAGTAGGTTTGGGCTTGGGATTTTTGGATGCCTTTTATTCGAGCCAAAAGAGATCTTTTTCTTTTATATACGTTACCAAATACATCTTTATTCCAAGTTTGCACATTATGAGTAAACTCATGAATAGCTTCGACAAGAGTAGAGTTCATGTTAACCCAAGATTTTAAGACAACATCAGAAAAAGTAGGATGACAAAGCCAAGTAGCTTCAAACCGAAAAAGCCTGTTTTTAGGATTAGAGGAGTGCATACCTTGTGTGAGAACAACCAGTGGAGAATGATCTAAGTAAGTTCGGGGCAGAGTCCTCACAGTCCTTTCTGGAAATAGGGCTCTCCATTTGTCGTTGCTTATGGCTCGGTCCAGTTTCTCCATGGTGTTTTCCAAGCCTTTCCTATTGTTCGTCCAGGTGAGTTTGGGACCAATACTCCCGAGGTCAATGAGATTGCAGTGGTTGATTCTCTTTGTGAATTTCTGAGCTTGGTTATGGTTGTAGTTTAGAGAGTAACTTCTTCTTTCATTCTGGTTAGTGAAGTCATTAAAGTCCCTTGCAACAAACCATGGTTTTTCCATGGTTTGAGCAGTTTCTTCAAGGTTGTCCCACAATTCCTCCCTTTGAGAAGGGTTGGGGCTGGCATAAACAGCAAATAGGATCCATTCTTCATAGTCCTCCTTGTAGATGGTAGCCTGAATAACTTGGCTTGTGGCATGAGAGGCTCGGATGTTGACTTGGTCTGTGTCCTAGAGTAGCCAAATTCCTCCTACCCTTCTTATTAGGTCGACTATGGTAGCCACAGTGAACCCCAAGTTGTTAAAGAAACTGCCCATAGAGCTGTAGGAAACTTTCGTTTCCATAAGTATGAGAATTGATGGTTTGTGAGTGCTGATAAGCTCTCGTATGTTGCATTTAAAGGCATTACTGCCTGCCCCTCGGCAGTTCCAAAATAGCATATTGAGAGAATCCATAGTAGGATAGTCAGGGAGGGGGTCAGTAACCAAGCTTGTGAGGATACTTCTATGATCTTGGTCCCTTGATCACATAGATGCCATCTGAACTGAGTGAGTTGATGGCCCCACTCTGGAAGTCCATCTCGACTCTATGCTCAACCATATCTATTCAATCCACCATATCGTAGTGACGAGGTGAATTGCTTATCTCCCTTGATCTAACAATAGGCTCAGAGAATGATTCTCCATCTTGTGTCGTGTAACCTTCGATCGTGAGATCTCTTCGGTCTCCATGGTGACTTCCTAGGTTAGGAGATTTCCTGTGTTTGGGGGTTGAGAGGTCATCTTTTCTCCTAAGGATAAGATCTGAGATAGTGCGTTTGGTGGGTGGTTCGAAGGTACTTCTTCAGCTGACTCACCTATTGAAATTTCTAGGGTTTCAATTTCTTTTCCCAAAGAACTGGGGTTGGTAGTCGGCTGAGCAATAGACTGGTGGCTACAAGTTACCTGGGACAAAGTGTCCTTGTCTTTAGCTCTATTAGCCTTAGGGGAGGACTAATATGGTTTGCTCTGGATGTGGTTTTGATTCATGGCAGGCTGGTGGGGGTGTATATCTTGTGGAATGACTTTGGTTTTGCTTGACCCAGCATGGGTTTGAGTTTGAGGGTGTGGGCTGGATATTTCCTTATCTAGGCCCAGTCGTGTAGTTTTCTTTCCTCTACTGTGGGTCTCCTCACGTTGGAGTCCTTTACCCAACTCAGTGAACCTATTTGCGTTTGGGTTTGGCCCAGTTAATTGGGCCTTTCGATTAATTATGGCCTTATAAGTTCTCTTAGTGACCATCATCCAGGGCCCATACATATCTTCTACCCTATCCGATTGTTGCAGGTTTCCGTTGGTACCAAGAGTGGCCATTGTAGCTGAAGCCTTATTCCCTGAAACGGCTAGTTGTCTTTCCTCCGTCGATAGCATGGTCCGGTGAGCCTCTTAGGGTTTGGGATTCGCCGCTTGGTATTTGCACAATTCTTTGCGATGATCTACCCTGTCACAGAAAAAACAGAATGAGTGGATGGATTCATATTTGATATTATATCTTTTCTGGCCTAATATGAATCATGGA